CTGTCTCTTATACACATCTAGATGTGTATAAGAGACAGTCACACCCCTCCCCCATCCCCAAACGTTTCTCAGTGGATTTGGGCTGTACTCAGCAAGCGCAGTACAGCCCCCAACTCAAATTTGAAAAAAAATCAGTGGATGACTGTTTTCTGACTGGTCGGCAGACCTCCCACCGGCCGACCCTACTGGTCGGCTGCAAAACGGTCGGCAATCGGGGTTGGCGGTCGGCAGTGCAACCCTGGGCCATGTATAAAAAAACAAACCAACAAAACACATCCATCCACAGAGGAGTAGCTCGCTAGTACGAGCCCGATCCTAACTGCTCAAGTCTGCCAACACTCTGTGTGTGTGTGTGTGTGTGTGTGTGTGTGTGTGTGTGTGTGTGTGTGTGTGTGTGTGTGTGTGTTACTCTCTGAGCTGCCCATATGTCATAGCGAACACACTGGTATGGCTCAGTGATCAAATACATTGGACAGCAGAATGAGGGTTTCGGCATGAGAAGCAACTGGATTGCTCTCAATACTCCTGCCGGTTTCCCTCTTACCAAAGTTGCATCATGTCAGGCATGGAAGCTGCAAGTCTGGTGTATATGACTTGGTTTCCAGTGTCTCACCAAGGCAATCAGATGGGCAGCAGCAAGTGTCCAATGGACCACTTATATTGTCACCCCAAACATGCGCATCATGAGAGTTCACACAAAATCCACACCGAAGTCCAGATACGGAGAGATCAGATTAGCGCAGCTCATAAACTTCAATGAATGATCATATTAATGATATTATTGTTGCATACTATAACATGCAGACCAGAACAAGAACCGACCTTTCAATACGAAGTATAAGATAGCACAACGGAAGACTTAGATACCAGTGATCCGAACAATCAATGTTGTAATGCAGCCCTGAACATACATCATCATCACCGTTACATGGTGTGAATGGGCCTGGCGCTTCACACAGGAAGACAGCGCCAGCCCGTACCATACACAGACRAAGAGGAAGGGGATAGACGAAGAGGAGGGGAAGATGGGAATGTCGTCAACACCAAGTCTTCAGCACAAGCCCAAATAGTCCCTCGTCGAAATGTCTGAATCCCAAGTGTCAAGTCTGGATCCAATGTCRTCAAGTCTCRAGTMACAACTCTGTCTCTCTCTGTCGTAGTCTGAGAAGTCAGGTGGCGAGAGGGTGAGAAGAGAAGGTGGACTTAGAAGAGGAAGAAGAAGAACTCTCTCTCTCT